GCCCAAGCTAGAAAACTTGGCTAATCTTGGGTGATGTTTAGCATCGGTGACGATTCCTCCTTCTTGATTATCCACAAATCAGCGATTTTTGAAAAATCACCAAAAATTGTTGTTCGGTATCATTTCTAAGTTTATTTGGTATTGATTTTCTAAGGCTGATTACATTTGGATTAGAGTTATTATTCAATGCCATGTTGGATGCCATGTCATCTTCAAAAAATTGGAATCAACAAAAATCAGGAAATCACCAAAAAGGTGATCCCTGAAAAGGGTTGATTTCAATTTTCTGAGAATCACCAAAATTGGCCAATCAAACAGAAATTTCAATGTCAATTCCTCTAACACTAACATGGCTCCTGCATGGCAGTGATTTTCAAGATATTATCATTGATGCCAAACATCACCTTAATCTATCATCAGACGAATTCAATTGAATGATCCCGATGATTCTTGATGATTTGAAATCACTCTTCAAATTGTAAACCTCTCCTACAATCATTACTCTACTGACAAGATCCCGGCCAAGATAACTTGGGAGGTTGCCAACGGTTAGGTTTGAACTCAAGTATAACAATAACCTTAACCAAAACAAAATCCCTTAGACTAGAACTTTTGTAAACCAAGGCCCAACTGCATACCTCAACAACCCCTCCTTGTTGTGGAATTCACATCTCCTCCCCGCTAGGGGCCGTCCCACAGCATATCCCCGCCGTGTATCAGGATCATCTCCTGATGATGACATCATCGATTCTGGTAATATTATCAGGAGATGTTCTCAATACACGACCGGGATGTGCTATGGGACATTGTGGGGCAGCCCCTTGTGGGGAGGAGATGTGATCTCCTTGTTGTGTGGATTTTCTTCTCCAAAAACCTTATAGTGGGAATCCTCCAAAGAGCTCTCCAGTTCTAATCAGGCAACAATATTTGATATTAACCCAAAAGAAAGGATTGAAAGAAAGAAAGTCTAATAATATGTGATTGGAGTCATAGTCATCGGATTATTCATGTCATTCTAGAAGGGAAAAGATTCCAAAAAATTTACTTGCACGAACAAAAAGGAAAATTTGGTGGTGGAGGTGAAGACAAGAAATTCTGTTCTTGAGTTGTCATTTGGAGCCTAAGAAGGGAGAAAGCAGTGGAAGAAAAGGTGGTCTAGTTGCAATCAATAAAGTATTTGAGGAAATTTGTGTCTTTTTATTTATTTATTTATTTTTTAATGTAACTTAAATTTTGAAAATGAGAAACAAAATCCATTAAGCTGTTCACACATGTAAGAGACTCTCTTATGCATATGCAATGTTGTCATGTCACTCCCCGATAGGGAGTGCAGTAAAATGTAAGGTCAAGTGTAGGAATTGATATGGGCTCTAAAAGGGCTAAATAGTTATTGATGATGAGTCGATGACGTTCTTTAGCTTTTGGGGTAGGCCGAATTTCAGCTTTTCTTGTGTTTTTTTTTTCTTTTCTTAATAAAAAAAATTATTTTACTACCAAAAACAGGAGTTATATATATATATATATATATGCAAATGGAAAGGGAATAGTAAGTGGAAGGGATGGATACATGTTGGTAGAGGTAAGGATTGTCACCCTTTATATATATAAAGGGTAGAAGGGAAAAAACACCTCCTAATTAAAGGTAACGATCATCACTAAAAGGATGGGAAAGGTGAAACTCTATCCAATAGTGTAATTAGGTTTATAACAACGCAAGAGAAAATACACCTTTGAAGAGTGAAATGAAAGTTAGGATTATCATAAAACTAGTAGCAACAATTAGGTTTTGTAAATGCATGCAGGCAATAAAAATTAAATGAAAGTCAATATTTTTGTGAAAAAGTAACAAAGATCAGGATTGTAATTACAAGTTTCTCAGACTTCTCTCTCTAAAGGTGTGAAAACTTATATTGTTGATGATATTGGTAAAGAAAATTGAAAAGTTCTGAGCATATCTTCTCAATCAAAGAAAATTCTGAACTTTTGACTACTCAGTTTGGCACCCCTACATGCACATCTCAGCGTGCATTGGGGAGATGTTCCCAATACACGGGTGGGAGGTGCTGTGGGGCGCTAATTTGATCTCCCCCAGTCCATCCCATACTCTAAATTTTATTTGAATTTTCATCTACTAATGAATTGGCAACATTGAATACTCTATGAAAATACATACAAATTCCACAATTAGGATGAATAGACATCATAAAATTTTATTGATAATGCATTAATCAAGAGTCTAAGACATAAATTATATAGATTTTTACAGATTAATACATACACAAATCCATTATTATGTTATTTTCTCCAACACATAAAAAATATGTAACTACTATATTTTATTTATTATATCATTTATTTTCTATTTTACTATTTTTACTTTTGAACATTAATAAAAAAGTAATTAAGTATTACATTCTCAAATGTTTGGTAAACATTAGTTTTATCATTATAAACATGGTTTTCAAAACCGGACCGGACTGGACGGTTGGACCAGAAAAATCGGGAACCGGTTAGGTGATCGGTTCCGTTTTTCCCAAAAACCGTTGATTTTGGTTAGAAAACCGCTAAACCGGGCGGTTAATTGTTCGAACCGTTCAAATGGCTTTGACAATTTTTTATTTTTTTTAATTTTTTAAATTTTTTTATTTTTTTTGTCAGAACGGTCCGAGCGTTCAATTCAAACGGTCGGATCATTCAACTCAGTAACCAAACCCCTGACCGGTTCGGTCTCCAGTCGGTTTTAAAAAACCATGATTATAAACAATAAATATTTTATTATAAAATATCAATTAATAATTTATAAAATATATAATCTTAACTTAAAATATATCAAATCTATTAAAATTTCTAAGATACATATCATATGCATATTCACGTTATTTAATTAATAAAATAATTATTTCATTATTAACGTTTTCACGTCTATAAATTTTCTAAAATAAAAAATATCTTTTGATATTAATGTAAATTAGTGTTGCTGCCAAAGTTGGGGCCGAGGGTAACAAGGGAATTTCGTTGATGTCCAAGGCCAACGGGTCTGACTTACAAGCAAAGGCCCCGAGTGTTATCATAGGGGTAGAGACTCCAACGGTCAAGTTAGCCAAGTGCCAAAGAGGGGTTGGACCAGGCTTGAGACGAGGGGTTAGAGCTTAGTCCTTAGAGGAGAAATCTCTTGGGATTCTAAATGCATGAAAGTAGAAGTGAGTTTACCTTGGGATGGAAACCCCTTTTTTATAGCTGAACTTGCCTTGGAGTGGTTGGAGGTAGTTGGAGATGTGCAGCTAGGATTGCATCTAGCCGATGCCACGTGGTACAATCGATCTGAGGCCTGCCAAGTATGCCTACATCAATTAGTGAATTTGATAGATTCAATTTAATATTATATTCTTGAATATTTTTTAAACAAATTTTTATTTCTTTAAATATAAAATAATTATTTTACTATTAATATTTTTTATATAAATGTAAATTTAATAAATTATTTATTCCATTAAAGTTTATAAATTGTGAATTTTGAATTCTGTTCTGTTTAATTTTTAATTAAAATTATTGAATATAAATATATGTATATTATTTATTTTAATTACATATAAATATTAAAATTAATAAAAATTATTATATTTCATTTATTATCACAAAATAAAAGATGGCTTAATACTTTAAGAAATTCACATCTACGCCCCATCAATGGAAAAAAAAAAGAAGAAGCATGCAGTGTATATACATCCTTCTCGTCAATATCTATCACCCCCCCATCAATGGAAAAAAAGAAAATATGAACCCATAAAACGATTGGCATAAATGGAATGCCACAACTCAATACCAATTCGTACCTATATTTCAGTCTTGGATGTGATTCATTTGGTTTTCATAGCTGTGCCGAATAAATCTGCAAGGACCACAACGAAGACCAAATCGAACCGGAAATCGCTTATTAAGTTATTATTATTGGGATTTGGCCACCAACCACATTTGAATCATCGCACTAAGGATTGAGTCGTGATTTTACCGGAGCTTAGACCAGAATACAAGATGCTAATATAGTGTAGTAATAAGCACTAACAGAACATGATAATTGAGCACTTGTCGTAAGTTGTAAATGTTGACGAAAGTGGGGAAACCGAGAGTGGTCTTATTGGTCCGGATGTAGTAGGCATGTTACGTAAGCACAACCGAGTAAGCATATAATATAATAGCTGTGTGACATATGTTCAGTTGGGTTTGGATGTAATAGGCACATTGGGTAAATATAACGAGTGAACAGGTAATAGCTGTGCATCACGTCTTAGTTAAACGAAATTATTCATTATTTTATTATTTTTATCAAAATAATTAAAAAGAAAAATATAAATGAGTCAACTTTCAATACATTTAAGTTTTTCTTTTTCATTGTTTTTATTTTTAATTATTTTAACAAAAATAATAAAATAATAGATAATTTCTGTTTAATAAAATAAAAACATTTAGATGAAAGACGCATTAATTAGGACATGTGTCACACAGCTATTATATACTCATTCCTTGTGACTCATTTACCACTAGCTGCCTGTTGTTTTAGAATCGTTGACATTGATATCCACCAAACCCCAATATTGTTTTGTCAGCCCATCAGTGGGACCATAGAGGCATAGACCCCATTGAGTAGGACAATAAGCCAAGTATCATGATGCCCCAATTTTTACTCCTGGGTCCATAAGCCGCTACTCGATTACGGTATTACCACTACGTGATTGGCTGATAGTCTTAAGTCGTACATGTGTAAACACATGTAGATGACGCGCCCTCTTATACATCACTCTTCAGACATTCAAATCCAAAACCATCAAACAGGATTAATATATAGTACTGGTGGAATAACAATCTGATCTTCACCTAATCACCTTCCATCATCATTTGTTAAGATGCAAACCTATCGTTGGTGGCTTGACCTTGACTTCATTGTTTTCTCTCTATATATAAATTAAGCAAATCGATCATTTGTGTTGCAGAATCACCAGAGCCTTTACTTATAGTTTGGCAAACAATTCCTAGAGCCTGCAATATCATACACTGTAGGAAATTAAAGCTCAAAAATGGCTATTGGGTTAGTCTGTAATACCATCTTGAAGGCTTCTTCCTCACATCATCCCACCTCCAATGATCTAATACCTCTCAACCTCTTTGACAAAGCAGCCTTTGATATCCATGTCCCCATCTTGTATGCCTTCAGGGCACCAATGCCATCTAATGAAGTCCTCAAGGAGGGACTCTCCAAAGCTCTTGTTCACTATCCCCAGCTCGCAGGTCGGTTCATAACTGACGATCATGGCCGCACTTGTATCATTCTAAACAACGCTGGTGTCCGAGTAATTGAGACTTATGTACCAACATCCCTGGCCGAGCAGCTGCCCTTCACTCCAGCTTCGGAGGTGGATAAGCTCCTCCCACCTTTAGACGGTGTCCAAGAATTACTCCAAATTCAGCTCAATCGTTATGCCTGTGGTGGTGTCGTCATAGGCTTAACTTCACACCATCGTGTTGCTGATGGCCAGTCCATGAGCTACTTCACCATCTCCTGGGCAAGCCTAGTGCGTGGCCTCGACATTGAAACGCTTCCCTATCACGACCGAGCTGCTGTTTCTGTCCCAAGAAACCCACCCAAAGTGGAGTTCGATCATTCTTCCATCGAGTTCCAAAAGAGCACTGCATCGAACACTAATAATTTTTCATCTTCCATTGCCAATTTGGTAGTCCACCTCTCAGCTGACTTCATAACCAAGCTCAAAACCAAGGTATGCCAAGGGCACCAACGCTTCAGCACTTTCGAATGCCTTCTTTCACATATGTGGAAGAAGATCACACAAGCACGTGGACTTGCACCGGACGAGTACACCCAGGTGAGGGTGGCGGTGAATGGCCGAGCTCGGATGAAGCCACCGGTGCCGATGGAGTTCTTTGGCAACTTGGTGCTCTGGGCGTATCCAAGGCTGGTAGTGAAAGAGTTGTTAAATGAGAGTCATGCCCACATCGCTAAAGCAATCCATGAGGCTGTGGCTAAGGTTGACAACGAGTATTTCCATTCTTTCATTGATTTCGGAGAGTTATCAAAGGAGAAAGATGGAGAGTTGGTGGCAACAGCGCCTGACATTGGAGACTCATTGTGTCCCAACATGGAGGTGGATAGCTGGTTGAGGTTCCACTTCCATGATCTTGACTTTGGTGGTGGAGGGCCGTGTGCTTTTCTCCCTCCAGATTTGCCTGTTGAAGGCTTACTAATTTTTGTGCCTTCCTGCAAAGAGAAAGGAGCTGTGGATGTGTTCCTTGCTCTCTTGCATGAACACGTTGAACTCTTCAAACAAATTTGCTACTCTCTGGATTAGAGCTGCACAGGGAAGCTTAAGGCACCTCAGATATCTGAAGCTAGCTTTCCTTTTCTTCATTGTTATGTTTTTTTATTTTTTTCCTGTTTTATTTGACGCAAGTCATAATTAATTTGTTAGGGTCTCAGATACGGAGTACTCATTTGATTTGTAACATCAACACGAAGAAGATGAGAACTGTACTGGGTTATTTCATTATTTGAATATTTATATATACAAGAAGGCTTGACAATCAAAGTTTATAAGTATATATGAATTAATTTAGGAAACCAATCTTTGAGGCTCTTGGGGGTGATGAAGACCATTGCAATCTTATTCATGGATTTTTTTTTTTTGTGGGCTTTAATTGGGAGATCTAATGAAAGAAAAATGTTTCACTAGATTTCATTTGTTACAAAAAAAAAAAAAGAACTTTCATTGATCTCATAATGAAAGTTCTGAAACGTTGCTACTGCATTTCGATGAAATTAGTTATTGGAAATGACCCCTAATTATTCACTAAAAATGACTAGTAATTTGGTTCTTTCACAACTTCATCTGTTTTCAAACAGCCCCTAATGCAATTATTATTAGGGGTGTTCACAGGTTGGTTTGGTTCAGTTGCAGGTTGTTTGGCCAACCGAACTGATTTGATCAAGTTGGGGAATTGGTCATCTGAAACTGATCGACCATTAGTGAAAACTAGCTAGTTTGGGTTGTATCAGTTTGTGTCAGTTTTCGGTTTGGTCAAATGCTTCAAAATAACGTAACAAGTTAAATTTAAAAAATTACAATGGTATTACTAAAAATTTAAATTTATAATATAAAATATTTTAGACTATGGAATATGGGAAATTTTCCACTTTCCCATATTAAAAAAAATTAAATTTAAAATATAAAATACTAATATACATCTATGGTCGGCTTGGGTCAGTTTGCAAACAACTAAACCGAAACCAGCCCAACCTACTTGAATTAGGGAAATTATAAACCGAAGCCGACCAAAAATACTAAAAACTGACTAACTCGGATCAAGTTGGATTAGTTTGATCGGATTAATGAATAGCCCTAACAGTTATACATACCATTATATTAGAATTTTTCCAGCAGCTGGTTCATGTTAAAGTTTCTTGCTAATCGTAGTGGAGACATGGATCCTTCCAACCTTTGTCAGGGTTAGGGGGTTTTGTGCCTTGGGTGGTCCTCAATCCCCTTTTGTAGTAATTCTTGTTTAGTAATATATATTTTTAATATTTTAAAATATGATTAAAAATAAAATAAGTTCGATGAGAAATTATTCTGCAATCATCAACTGCAGGGAGATCAGGAATTCACCTAGATTGGAAAAGGAGACTCAGCCAGAGGATTATCGTGTCTTCATGAACATGCTAATGCCCCCATAATTCATAGAAATGTTAAGTCGAGTAATATTCTATTGGATGAAAATTTAGTTGCAAAGTTGCAGATTTTGGACTTTCCAAGCTGATATTAGACATTTCTAAGGGGCATGTTTCCACCCAAGTTAAAGGAACAGTGAAAAGTATTACTGCATAGACCATCCCTCTTCCATCCTGAAGGTCTCTTCAAGAATGCATTGCCACACTTGGCACTGGAATGCCAAATGCAGCCTTAGAGCATGTAAGTACAGATTGCCAAGTGAATACAATGCATTATGCAGGGTCTGCTTTACTAGTTCACATAACACTTGGCGCTGGAATGCATTTTACCAGTTCACAAAATCCCTGCACCCTATCATTTACAAACTTTCCACTGGTATGGTGATATTAGAGATTAAAAGATTAATTTTTTTTTCTAGTTTGGGAAATGCTCAAAGAAAGGTCTTAGTTTAGCCAGATGGAAGAGGCTTTTGGTATCACTAGTTTACTACAAATAAAGTGTGTAGAAACTAGTCCAGGTGACCCAAAGGGCTTTTGGTATCACTAGTTTACTACAAATAAAGTGTGTAGAAACTAGTCCAGGTGACCCAAATGCTTTGGGTCCATCTTTGATGTGAACTTGGATTTGGTGCCCACAAAATTGTGCTCATACTCGTTTTTACAGCCATTTTCATCTGTGTATTAGAAATATCTCCCCATAAATAAAAAGATACAAATATGGAGATGTTCCCAGTGCATGGCTGAAAAGGGCTGTGAGAACAGTGTGAGCACAGTTTTGCGAGGACTGAATCCACACACATTTGATGTTGTTCCCTTGATAAGTGATGCATTGCTAGTATGCCCTTATGGATGCTATAGAATATTTTGAACTACTATTGATATTCCAATTAATTGCTTAGAATTCAACCCATGTAAATTTTAGTTACTATTTATCTTTATAGTTAAAATACTTGAATATAATTCTAATATTTATATGTTTTGATTTGCAGGTTCAACCAATATGTTAAGTGGATTTGCAGTGGAAGATGTGCCGCATTATTAGAGAATTTGATAATTTTTTAAGTTCTTATACTATTTATATGTCAATTGGATATTGTATTTGGGCAATGCCTTTTGGATATTTTAATATATAATCTTTGAATTAATAGATTTCATTTAAAATTGATTTTTATCAAATGGCTTTTCTATATTAAACAGGTATGGAAATGCTAAATCAATAAATAATTCAGGTACCACAAAAATGATGCATTTAAGGGGGAATACGATTTTTTTTGAAAAAAAAAATGGTTTATGCCAGCGGTCATGTACGCCGGCTTAGCTATTAACCTAGTATAAATGAAGATGAAAAAAAAAAGATCTATGCAACCGTCGGTTTAGCAACAAACAACACCCGCCGGTTTAGCCACAAACAACACCTAAGCTGGCAAGTTGGACCGCCACCTAAGAACCTGAAGGAATTTGGCAAAAATCTAAGGCGACGGTCTGTTGGTATCTAAGCCAACAGTCAAAACTGCCGCCTAATTAATGCTAAGCCGGCAGTTCATTGTGACTGCCACTTCAGACCGCCTTCAACCGGCCCTCTAAGGCGGTGGTCTTTCGAATCTATGGTGGCGATCCCACTCTAGGGCAGCAGCTGATAAGGGGGCGGACGCTTGACCGCCGCCTTTAGTTTTGACTTTTTTTCTTATAGTGATCCCGTGGGATAGGATGGGGAGACAGGAGGCAAAAGCCCCATCCCCATTGGCAGGGATAAGGATGGAGATTTTCATGGGGACAGGATGCCCCCGTCCCCACCTTCCTATATACATTCATCAGCTCAAATTGTTCACATCCTTCAATGACTCGGACCAGTAATGCTCATGGAACTCTGTTCAGCCACTAGGACAAGACACATTCAATTAATATCCTACCCCAAAATAAGATAAAGCCAAGACCTTAGTACACATTCATTTAGCCTATTCATCAGCTGGTATCTCATCATCATCATCACTAGTTGGTCTTCTTTACGCGTTATCCCCAACAAGCCAGAATGCCTGATATTTATATTTTATGTGAACCAAAGGCTTTGCGTAATGCTTATAATATGTTTGGCGAATTGACGTCAAGGTCTTCTTTTATCCACACGTGTTTTCTATAAATTTATTATGGTTTTCTGTTCTTTTTCTTGCAAACATAACAGCCCATCAATCTTGACCATCGCTTAGACTAATACAACAAACGGACAAGCATCACTGTCGATGGAGATCAACCATCGGATGAACAGGCTTTCTTGCTTAGTAGTGGTCACCTTGAATTATCAATGGTTATTAATATCAGACGAACCCATCTAGGAAATTTCCCCATCCAAGTTAAACTAAAAAACTATTGATTTACTGGACCCAGATCGTCGGAAGTCTTCCATGTAGAAATGTTTGATCCAAACCCACCAACCTCGTATAGAGATGAACAGTCAAAATAATGGTTTCGGTCGTTCACATTTGGTAATCCACTCAATACCCACTCAGTCTTGGAGCTTCAGCAAACGACAGAATACAAATGAGAAGGGACGTGGAAACAAGAAAAGGGAAATACAAGGTAAGTTGCAAACATTTTTCTATATAAAGCCATCAGGTCTGAGTTAGATTCGACGAGCACAAAATCTTTAGCAAGCTTGCTAGCTTTCAAAATCCAGAGACTCTAGGAATAACCCAGAGATGGCTATTGAGTTAATCAATGATACCATCTTGAAAGCTTCTCCCTCGTCAGAGCATCCCACCTCCAATGCTCTGGTGCCTCTCAGCATCTTTGACAAAGCAGCCTTTGATCTCCATGTCCCCATCTTATACGCCTTCCGGGCACCTGTGCCGTCTAACGAAGCCATGAGAGAAGGACTCTCCAAAGCCCTAGCTCACTACCCCCACCTCGCCGGTCGGTTCACGACTGACGATCAAGGCCGCACCTGCATCATTCTGAACAACGCCGGTGTCCGGATAATTGAGACTTACGTTCCAATCACACTGGCAGAGCAGCTCCCCTTCACTCCAGATTCAGAGGTTGGCAATCTCCTCCCACCCCTGGAAGGTGTTGAAGAATTGCTTCAAGTTCAGCTAAACCGATATGCCTGCGGTGGGCTCGTGCTAGGTCTAAGTTCACACCACCGTGTAGCTGATGGTCAATCCATGAGCTACTTCACCATCTCATGGTCGAGCTTAGTGCGAGGACTTGACATCGAAGCATTTCCCTATCACGACCGAGATTCTGTTTCTGTCCCAAGAAACCCACCTAGAGTTGAGTTTGACCACCCTAACATCGAGTTCAGAAAGAACACTTCATCAAACACCAATGAACTTTCATCCTCCATTACCAACTTGATTGTCCATCTCTCAGCTGATTTCGTAACCAAGCTTAAAGCAAAGGTGTGCCAAGGAAACAAACGTTACAGCACTTTTGAGTGCCTCCTTTCACATTTGTGGAAGAAGATGACACAAGCCCGGGGGCTGGAGCGGGATGAGTTCACCCAAGTCAGAGTGGCGGTGAACGGCCGAGCACGAATGAAGCCGCCGGTGCCCATGGAGTACTTCGGCAACTTGGTGCTCTGGGCCTACCCAAGATTGAGGGTGAAGGAGTTGTTAAACGAGAGCTGTGCTTATGTGGCTAAGGCAATTCACGAGGCCGTGGCTAAAATTGACCATGAATACTTCCAGTCATTCATTGATTTCGGTGAGTTATCGAAAGGAAAAGAAGATGAGCTGGTGGCGACGGCACCGGAGGCCGGAAACGCATTGTGCCCCAACTTGGAGGTGGATAGTTGGTTGAGGTTCCACTTTCATGATCTTGACTTCGGTGGGGGAGCGCCCTGTGCTTTCATGCCCCCAGATTTGCCTGTTGAAGGCTTACTAGTCTTCGTTCCTTCTTGCAAAGAGATCGGTGGTGTGGATGTGTTCCTTGCGCTGTTGGATGAGCATGTCGAACACTTCAAACAAATTTGCTACGCTTTGGATTGAAGCCACAAGTGGGGGTGGAAATGATATCTGAAGCTGCTACTTCTTATTTCATTGTTATTATTTTATTTTCTTTGCGATGTAGAGGATGATTTATTTATTCCTTTTTGGGTCCTCTCAGTCCCTTTTGGAGAACCCAATATTAATTTGTAGTTATATAATAAGGATACTGAAGTGTATCCTTTGTTTATTTTAATATTATTTTAACTGATTAAGTTGTATAATCATAAGAGAATTGAAAGCACAGCTATATATTTTAAATTGTATTGAAGGTAACAATTTTATGTTAATTACCATAAACTTTTATGTATTCCCTAACTAGTATGGGCCCTCATCATGTGGCATTTATTCAAAGGATCAAGGCCCATTATAAGATGGCTCCCAGCCAAAAGAGAGAAAGTACACAAAAATTAATCATGATTAGACGTTATGGAAAATTCCCGTACGCTGTACTTTGCGCCTGTCAATTTGGTCCCAAACTTTCAAAATATCATAATCCACCAGTTATTAAGTGGTATTTTAAAAAGACAAGAATGTCTCCGTAGTATCATCTAATTTTTATTATCAAACATTGACCAAAAATAACAGTTTTAAATTTTTGCCTCTTTTATTCAAGAAAGTTGAGTCTATTAGAATGATCGTTCTAACTTTTTTTAATGGAAAAGTCAAAAATTTGGGGATTATTAATTTTTTGTTAACATTTAAATGATTGATAAAAAAAAAATTAAATAACACTTGAAGGACATTTATGTCTTTTTCAAATGACACTTGACGACTGATTAAAGAATTTCACCAAACATTATTCAAAGTTTTCAAAGAGTATAAATGGAACATTTGTTTTAAAATTTTTAACATGATTATTGATCCAATTAATCTTCAAGGTGAGATCAATTCCTATGGGTGTTTAGTTTGCAAAAACAAAAAAAAAGGAAAAGAGGGAAAAGGAAGGGAAACATGTACAACGAACACAGCCTTAATATATAATAAACGGTAAGATACAACAAGGGATACAACTCAGTTTGGCCCTAATTACTATTTTGCAATAGGATCCAGCCTTAAGGTAGGGTCCATTTAAATTTTGACAAAAGCCCAATCCAAGCTTGCACAAGTTGCATCAATCCATAGCTAGGTAGGGCTTCTTGCTTGCTTCACTACAACTGATGCTTTGGATTGGTCATATTACAATAGCCAATCAATGGTTTTATTTTCTTTCAATTCATTCCGCAATGCTACTTTTAAATAAGAAGAGGCCTTTTGATCATATGTTAATAAACCCCTTAAGGGCATTTTGATTATATATATGAAAATTAATTAAGTTAGTTGATTGGTGACTCAAAATTATTTTTATTATCAAAAAATAGTTAGGGAGAATGACGGTTCAACCCAGGATCAGAATTCATAGGCTCAAAGTATAGTTGAGGTAGGTGTTAGCTCGGAATTGATGTCAATTCACGGATAGGCATTGATGTATAGGGTGGGGGTAATTGATCTTTTGAAATATTATAGATCTGCAGTGGAAATCAAAATTCTGCAATGGGTCTGCCGTACTTCTCCAAAATAGTTATGACCACATATGATTAGTATCAATGACTTTAACATTAAAGAGGTATGTGATGAATAAATATGTAAAGTCTTTGGAGGTATCTCAAGGTGCGGGGAAGTTTAACACAATGTCATATAAGCTAGGGGAAGTTTAATTTAGTTACATAATTTCCTTAAATTCATGGGTCCTGATGTATGGATGGATGTCATGTTCTCAAGGTATTCACATGGTATTTGCTTTCAAGATGTCTCATCTCCCAAAAAAAAAAATTCAATCCAAAGTGTTGCAGTAGAGATGTCAATGTACAACCTTGATCAAGTTTTGGGTCGGGTCTGGGTTTAGGTGAATCGTGCTAGGATAGATGAATCATATGTGAGATGAATTGGGTCGCCTTTTGATGGCTCCCCTCCATTAAGCCAGGTCGAATTAAGGTTTGGGCTATAAATGAATCGGATTTATCCAATCCAATTCGAATCTGATCCATTTATCTCAGATTCGGATGTCTAATAAGCAATGAATCGTTTAATGAGCCAAATTCGGATAGAACCTGATTCAATTCGTTGACCTTTGGCTTGAACTTTTTTTTACTTGCACATAAAATCATATAGTAATGCGTAGTATAGAATAAATAGAAAAGTGGATAAGACAATTAAGCCTTTACAAAAGTTTAGGGTAAGAGACTTAACCTCCCTTGTTACATAAATACTAAAACCTTAACTCACTTTTCAAATTAAAATGGACTAAGACCTCTCTTACATCATTTATGAGTGATTTTTTTTTTAATCCACCTTTAGCCCTTTATGATCCCATGAATTCAGTTCCTTGTATTTATTTATGACGTCGAAAGTAGAACATATACAGCTGAAATACAACCAAAGAAAAAGATTTTCAAGTTGGGAAAGCAAGGATTAGCGTACTGAAAAGAAAAGTGTGAAAGGAAACTATAGAGAACAATCCATCCATCAATGATTGAAGCTAAGTCAAGTAACAAGAAAAGAAGAAGAAAAAAGCATTATTTCTTATCAACAGCTACCCATTTGAAGATTCTCGATGAGTTTTTTTGTTGAGTTTTTTTCTCCTTTTTTCTTCTCTACTTCTTTCAGAAGAAATAAACTGTAGGTTTCATACTGCAGGTTTTTGTTCATCTATTTGTTTGTCATTTGATCAAGGAGATTGATCTTGGGAAACATGGTAAGTGTTTGGCATCTATGTGTTGATTTAGAGCCATTTTCTGAAAAAACAGTGTTGTATCTATTGCATCGTTTCTTTTATTGTTTGACATCATTGCTGCCATATAAGATGTTTTATGAGGAAAGGCACCGGTTTTATTTGGTATCAATGTTCTATAATTGTTTTCAACATTGGTCCATATATCCAATGATTTACATATAATGACACATTCATGCCACATCATGGTACAGTTGGCAACAACAGTTACGAAAACGAGAAAAGATCAAATTTGACTTGACATCAATGCCAAGCCATGGTCTCCGTTTGCTTTAAATCACGGGTTATTAAAAATTGATTTTGTTCATTATTTTTACCAAATCACACAAAGCTAATGCCCTAATAACATCAGCATTACCAAGCAATAAGAAATTCTAGAAAAGATGAAAAAATCATTCCAAACATGAAATGCCGTTTTGTTTCCTTAAAATGCGGGTAAAATATTCATCCTATCAACTAGAGTAAAATAAATTATTTTACTCTTTTGAAGGATTGAAAATGATTATTGTCTTCGATTTCATACTAAGAAATAGTGTTTTCAATCCATCGTTGACACAGCTGGTTGAACCATTTAAACCATCATTATTCAGTCAAAATTCTAGGTCCAGTTTGAGTAAAACCCAGATAAAGGTTAAAAACATTGACTTAGTCAAAAACCACTTGACCCGGATGGTTGGACCATTAACCCGGTTGACATGGTCGTGGGCTACTTACTAACCGTGTATGGAAATTTTGGGAGGCCATAACTTTGCACTCCAATGTTTGATTGAAGTGATTTTTTATTTAACTTTTCGAGATCTATGTGTCCCAAGGCACCATTGTCCCACTATTTTCAAGAAAAACCCCTTTTGGGGCCTCAAATTGCAATTTTAATATTTTTACAAATAAAAAATAAATAACTGAATTAGAAAACATAAATTAAATATAAAATAATACATGCATCATATCTAAAACATAATTATACATTACTAGTTGATAAAATATGTATTATATATATACAAATACACACACACACACACATATATATATATAAAGATATATAAATGTTGATTGACCCATTTGACCTGAATAGTCAAGCTGTGACCCATGACTTGGAGGAAAAACATTTCGACCTCTGGGTTGTTCTCTAATTTGTGAGAACAAGCATCCTTGATCCGATCTTCACTATTGTGGTAAGTTCAAATTTTTAAGAATTGAAAAGGAGGATGAATTGAAAACAACACCAACATGACAAAATAAATAGGGATGCAAACGGATCGGATCGAATTTGAATTAGGGTATATTCAAATCCGATCTAAAGATCCAATCGGATTTGATAGGACTTGATTTGAAATCAAATCCTATCGATAAGGCGGATCTTCATATCTGATCCGATCCAATCGGATTTGATAGGACTTGATTTGAATTCAGATCCTATCGATAAGTTAGATCTTCAGATCTGATCTGATCCGATTTGTTTTCTTTAAAAATTAATAAATTATTAAAATAAAAATAAAATATACTAATTTAAATAAATTAAAAACAAAAAATACAAGTATTTTTTAATTATTTTCATCATATATATATGCATATTTTTTATAAAAAAATAAATAATATAACAAATTTATAAAAATATGATATAAAAAGCATATCTATAAATAAATAAATATCATATATATGTATTATATATATATTTATATTTATAAATATATAATATACATCAGATTGGATCTTCTCGGATTGGATAGGGGGTGATCCGAATCCAAATCCAATCCGATTTTCTGATCAAGTCCTATATCCAATCTGATCCAAAGATCCAGACAAGGATAATCCGAATTCGACCAAATAGAATCGGATCTTGGATCGGATCATATCCATTTGCACCCCTAAAAATAAAATTGCTGAGAACCTAAAGGAGAGTTTTGTTTCGATCTCTAACTTTCTCCATGGTGAAGATAATCATGTTTTTAAGGAGTGAAAATGCTTGAGGATGGGAGTCTTCTTATAGGAACCCTCCATCCTCCTATTTCCTCCCTTACAATTCCTGTGGTTTTCTTTAAAAAAGTAAAGAATAATAAAAGATAAAAACGTCTTTTAATCGATCCATAACAAGGGAGGTTTTAAGTCCACAGAAATTAGTGTGGAGGTATAAGTATTTATGAGAAACCTCAAGAGGGAGGTATATGTCTTTTACCCAAAAATTTAAACATATATGGACTTTTAGTAAGAAATGTGGAAGAAGATATGTGTAATTTGGTCTTGTACATTCACAAACCCATTCAAACAAACAAATACTTACATCAGGTATTTGTTTATAATCAAATTATAAATCTATGTTTTTGTTTTGGTTAATCTGGTTGAAAATTTCTTTCAACTTGATGAATCGAAAATAGAAAACTTGATATTTTTAAAATTACAAGAAACCAAATCAAATTTGCTAACTCGATTTGGTTCAGTTTGGTTAACAAATTTTTACACGTACCCTTATCCAAATATCTATTTGGAACCTATCATGCT